GTGACTATAATGGGCAGCCATGATTATAATGGGCAGCCATAACTATAATGGGCAGCCGTGACTATAATGGGCAGCCATGACTATAATGGGCAGCCATAACTATAATGGGCAGCCATAACTATAATGGGCAGCCGTGACTATAATGGGCAGCCATAACTATAATGGGCAGCCGTGACTATAATGGGCAGCCATGACTATAATGGGCAGCCATAACTATAATGGGCAGCCGTGACTATAATGGGCAGCCGTGACTTTATACATCTCGTGAACCATCATCCGATGTATAAAGGCTCACGTCATGCAGCAGGATTTACGACACTGCTGGAAAGCCATTTTCATGTTGCACTTATTTTTTTAAGGTCGAACTATTAAAAGGGAGTGTTAGAATTTCGGGGAGGTAGCTAGCAGTGGTTAGTTGAAAAGCGACACGTGTATTTATTTTCATCAATATATGTCAACCAATGTCATACCGCTTCCTGAAAAAAAATCGCAGGAGAATAGTGTTCACAAGTGTCCTTGACGATCTTCAAATGATAGTTACACAACGCAGTGTGTAGAACGGTAACTTGGGCATATTTTGCAGTGTTTCGGCTGATGCGGCAGCTGGCAAGCTCGAAAACGCTAGGTAATGAGGGTTAACAGACCAGCGAGCTTTCGTGGAATATAGCAGTGCTTGCTTCAGTGGCAATCAGGATACCAGGCAATCATATCCTTCAGCTCAGTAAAAGATCCTGCGATTAGGGGTGAGCTCGTCTTCAGGTAAATCGAGTCTGGTGAACCCACTGCACAGGGAAAAAACTACACCTTAGAGCGATGTAAAAAATCCACGCTAAAACGATGACAGCACGAGGAAGAAAGAGAAAATAAAGCCTTTTTCACTCCATATTGCCGGGCAAGTGCCAGTCACGGTTCAGTCCAATCTTCTTTAATGCATTTATAAAGAGGGGTTCACACCAGCTGTGCAAGGCACCTACCATGCCAGGCACGGTAGAGTCACGATCAACGGAAAATATATTTTGACCGGGACGTTTGTGCAGCGATGCCAAATATTTTTTTGTTGAGTTGACCAGTTAGAAAGCGCAATATATCAAATTTTAACAAATCTGGCATGATTATAACAAATTTGTTATGATTTTAACAAATCTGGTAATAACCAGGCCAAGAATGTTGATATCGGGCACCGCCTCTACACTACACAACAGGTTTGTGAAATCTGGTATGGTAATATATACCAGTTGGCAACTTGCTTGGCACAGGATACGAAAGGAACTGAAGAGAGGACGGCCCGTGACCGGACTGAACAAGTTTACAGGACCGTGACTGGCATATCCCTGGCACGTGCCCGGTAGTATCGTATATATCAAGCCTTACTGTTACCAGATTTCATTGACTGGGGATTTAATGTTTGATATCGGCATTCTGTGAAATCGAAAAGTTGTCTTTAAAAATTTGGCGTTACTTTTACGCTGAAAATTGTAAATTGTATGATAATAAGCGGTTAAAGTTTCATTGAAATTTTAAGACAGAATTTGAATGAGAGCTCCTTGTGAAATGGATGTTTGATCGGTTCTTTCTTTAATTTAACGGGATTTCCAACCGCAAAGATATTCCATCCCGAGCAATGCTGGACAGATCTGCTTGCATCAAAGATTTACTGCAGATGGACACTCTAACCTACCACTAACCTTCAACACATTAACCGCTGCACCGCTAACAGCTGCACAACAAACCACTGTACGACTAATCACTGCACCACTAACAGCTGTACCACAAACCACTGCCCGATCACTGCACCACTAACACTGCACGATTAATCACTGCACCACAAACCACTGCACCAATAACCACTGGTCCACTCATCATAATAGCCCTAATTACGAACCTATAAAGCGTACAAGAAACGTGAGGCAGTTGTACTGCCCGCAGAACGTCAGAGCCTCGGAGTACGGAGCCGCCTTGCTAGTTAGATCGTAGTACCCGTAATCGTTGTCGACAACAGTCCTGTACACACACCCTGCACACACACGGGGACTTTAGAATTGATCGTAGACAGGATAGTCGGTGTCAACAAGGCTCCTGTACACACACCCTACACACACACGGGGGCTTTAGAACTGATCGTACCCAGGATAGTTGGTGTCAACAAGGCTCCTGTACACACACAATGGGGGCTTGTGACCAGATTGACGGGGGCTTGATTTGGCAAGAAGTCTTCCTGAGAATAGGAAGTTGGGGAGTGCAGAGCTGAGAGTCATCCTTATGGAAATTTGTGTCAGCGTGAAGATTCCTAAAATTAATGTTAATTAATGCCATTTAAGTGTAGTTTATAATGCTTTAGACTTTGTTAATTCTTCACCATTAACTGTGTTGATAGTGAGATAGTTCCAGGAGAAAATGAATGCCATGAAGAAATTATGTGTAATGGTCTTACTGGTCTTGTTCTCGCTGCGCCGGTCGAGGAGCCACTGGTGACCAGAGCAGACGTAGCCTGGGGAGGAGTAGTTGAGGGACGCCATGACGTCCCGGGGGATGTAGGACGGGGGCCAGTGCTGTACGCACACCTTGTTAGCAGGACAGGGGCTGCTGGCGCATGGGTCCTGTTGGCAACAACGTAAACAAGAGGACAGTGCTGTACGCACTCTGCTGGCGCATGGGTCCTGTTGGCAACAACGTGAACAAGAGGACAGTGCTGTACGCACACCTTGTTAGCAGGACACGGGTTGCTGGCGCATGGGTCCTGTTGGCAACAACGTGAACAAGAGGACAGTGTTGAACGCACACCTTGTTAGCAGGACACGGCTGCTAGCGCATGGGTCCTGTTGGCAACAACGTAAACAAAAAGCATTTTCTTTTTTGCGTTCTGCAATAACTTAAGCAATGCTTGATCATAATTTCATGCAAATAACAATAAATATAATGATAAATGGTGGGCGGCACCCACCATAATCCTGGCGGGCGGCGACATCAGCATCCTGAAGCAGCGCCAGCCCGGCACCACCGCGCTGCCGGCTATTGCAGCCACGAGCTCGCACTCCCTGGTCACGTCTGCACTTGGATTTTAAAATTTCAAAATAGCAATAAGTTTTTAAAACATTCTCTGTTGCAATGCAATAAATTAAGTATGCTGCTACAATAAAATACAGCATATTTCCTGTTGTTATACAATAATCCGTTACAAAAATAAAATAAATTTTGGCTTTTTCAAATCTGCTCATAACTTAGATCATTTGCACGTTTTACCTTCGGATATCAATTTATTGCATCATTCGGAATGCATTTCCTGCACTCTTGCGCGTCGCAACTGCATTGAGTGTCTTATGGCATTTCGATGGTATATCATCAGCGAAAATGTAGTATAGGATATATTTTAGTGGTCAAATAAATAGCACATCAATTAATTGAGTAGAGTCTGGGTCAAAAATTGTATGAGTAATTTTTCAACATTTCCTTATTTTTTCAATCCCTGACGCTCATTTAATTATTTGAATGAGCGTCTGGGTCAAAAATTGAAAATTTCGGCTTTTCCTCTTTTTATGCTCATCTTAAAGCTGCAATTCTGACCAATCCAACGGTACCAAAACATCTCTGTACGTTGATTTATGCGTTCACGCCAGACCGCGAAAGGGTTAGGTGTCGTGGAGCTCTTTTACAATTTCTTACGGGAGAAATTATCGGCCAGGCACATAAGAGTGAGCTCTATATATATGGACGCTGCGCTTCAGTCACACCCGAGCTGTCATGTGGTATAGTGCTCATGCAGTCGTTTTCTGCATCTGTGAGTGAATTCGAACTCAAGTAACGCCTTGCTTGCTTGCTTGATATCCTTGCTACCATAAATGTCTATATATTGCGCACCGCGAGCGCTCGGGACTTTGTCGCGCTCTCCTGAATAGTTGCATATGTTCTCACTGCAAACCTATCTTCTCCTGGAGTTTTGAAGCTACAGCAATGAGAGATATACCGCTCCATTTGCAAAGAAAAGATCTAGAGAATTGTTTAGGCGCTTTTGTAATTTCGTTATAGTTTTGATAATTTTTGAAAAAGGTGCGAGTTGGGGGGGGGGTGAGGGGGAGAATCGAAACATTTACGAAAAATGTCCCCCACCAACAAAAATGAGAATTTCAAAAAACGCCTACACAGATCTTTATGGTCCATACGCATCGAATGATAATGTCTTTACGCATCGAATGATATGTGTCTCGATGTTGTAGCTTTCAGAGTGATCCGTCTGTGAATAACCGAGATAAAATTTGACCCGGATGCTACCCTTTAGGACTCAATTAATTAAGAAGTGCCTCAATAAAATAAATTGCGCATCAATCTATTAAGTAGTACCTCAATTTATCGAGTAGAGCCTCAATTCAGAAGCGCAATCTTCACTTGTGTAGCTAAGAATAAATGTACTAAAATGCACTTATACCGAAATATTAATGTATAAAAACCTACCGTTGAAGTTGAAGGCAACGCAGGCAGGCTGCGCCCCCCCGCACAGCTGCAGGCAGCGCTGCGGGTTGGTCACCACGCCCACGGACGCCCCCGACAGCAGTTTGCTGGCTCCTATACAGTGGAGAATACAATAATGAATACAAAAGCAATAAATGAAGAGTAAAACAAAGTTTTATCCTATATTATGAGTACAATGCCGATACTCGCTTACCGAACCCTACCCAGTGATGATTACAATAATTCACTCAAAATAATAAATTAACTGAAGTGTACAATAAAGTTTTTTGGGTCTGGCTGGGGGCGGGTCAGACCGTCAATTCAGAAGTCGTTACGCTCGGCTTATGATTACTTCGCGTCTGTTTGGTAACACGATCGAAATCAGATTCTGGTCAGAATCTCCTTTCCGACTTTTAGTGTCATAAGGGTGCGATGAGGTTGGCCGCAGCCGAGTCGTGCCAAGCTTGCAAGGTGCAAAGAGGCGTTTCTTTCATCCCGGCCGAAGTGGACATTAGCCGCTGCTTACCTAGTCGTGCTTACCTAGTCCTAGATTTACGTGCTTACCTAGTCCTAGGCGGCACCTGATGCAGAGTTGAGCCCGCTTCTAAATTTTGACAGAAAAGCGGAATCAGGACACTATTTAATATCACACAAATGACAAAGTGTAAGAAGCTGTTGTATCTGTTAATAGGTAAGACAAGGGTAAAGGGTTAATAGGTAAGCAGGGCAGTAAATAGGTAAGTTTAGACAATAACTAACTATTACTTGGGTAATAGTTCACATAATTACTTGGGCCTTGACAAAACACAATTGTTCAATTGGAATGGTAATAAACAAAATTATTAATACAATAAAAGAGTTTAATTTACACTCCATTTTTGAGACACTAAAATCGCAAACGATGCTCTGAATTATTCATTTCCTCTATTCATTCCTTTATTTAATTCAATCACATACTTTATTGATTCAACTACATGAATACATTGAAGCTAAGGAGGGCTTTCTCAAAATAAAGGGACCCTCTGTTAGCAGTTAGTTACTTCTGTTCCCTTGCCTTTACGTACAAAGGAAATGTAGTATTCGTACGTAAAAGCATTAATGACCACTAATGCGGTGTTCGACAGAGGGATAGCAGTTCCAAAACATTGGTGCGAGCATCGCTAGTGGCACACCGGGGTCTTGAGCGATACTTAGTTAAGTATTTGTTGATTGACAATGAAGTTTATCGTAAAAAACCGGTCTGCTTGGGGTAACTATTCGATATAATATTACATAGGAATATAATATTTACATACAAATGCGGTTGATGTTAAGCAATGAGAGAATCGATACGTCCCTACATGGTGACAAAGTAGGTCGTGGCGGCGATCACAGCCACAATGCTGCTCGCGTGCACCAAGCCTCCTAGAAATAGATTGCTGGTTGTAACTTGTACAGCACCAGCCACCGCGTTAAACTCACCCATGGTGGCAGCGGAGTAGGTAGTGGCGACCACCGCAGCACCACTCAAGTGGACCATGGCGACCAGGAATACCACGGTTGCTGGTAGCAAAGCACCAGCCATCATTTGAACAAGTCCTCTGTGCTCCAATAGACTTAGTCGATGATTGAAAATGGTAAGAGATTAAACTGGATAATAACAATTTCATTAACGTCAAGCACGAGTGAGGAAAAAAGTTGGTGATCTGGAATAAAAAATGAAACAAAACTTGAAGATTTGTAAAGTTCAAGACTGATGTCCATTTTCCCGCAAAATTATCAAGAAGTTGAGGAGTAACGGTTAGCACAATTCCTGTTTGGACTTTTGAGGACGCAAAAGATTATAATGAACTTGGACGCGTGAAACTTCGAAAATTTTTTTAAATTAGCACAGTCGCTTAATATTGATTTCTATTTATTTTGATAAAAATGGGCGATCAACTACATTATTATATATTTGTTTCCTCGTACGCCAGATGCAGTTCTGGACAGGTCTTATCATGTTCAGCGTATCGGCCTCGAAAAAATAACGTCACGGCACCGAATCGCGAGATGCATTGTGAGATAGGCCGTCATATTTGTTGCATGGTCCATTTAAACAGAAACAGTGGACAACGGAATTCATTTCTTCAGTCTGCCAGCCGTGAATGCCTTGTATATCGTATCAGTTCACGTATCGTTCTGATATAGATACATTTAGGTATACATATCTGATATAGATATAGAAATAGGCCATGGGCCTATGTATTTCTTCAACGCCGACACTTCTATTCTATTCTATATCGTATATCAGTTTATCAGCCATGAATATTTCTATATAAAAAGAGAGCCGATGAATCATCTAATGTAAGTCATGTGAAAAAACACCTTGAGTACAAAAATCCTTTGGATAAATTTTCTGAGGAAAATGAGAATTAAGCAATCATCTATTGTGAGTCTTGCGAAAAAACGTACATTTAATGTGAAAACTTTTTGGATACATTTTTTAAGTAAAATGAAAGCAAATATTAGCATGAATCACTGCAAAGTTTGTAACGCAATCGTTAAAAACCTAAAAAAACATACTCAAGCGCATCGTAATGCAACTAACAATTCGATCATACCAAATGAATACTTTAATTCAAAGATAATATGCGTAATATGCAATCGCGAAGTTCAAAACTTAAAAAGGCATGAACAAACAAACGTCCATAGAAAACGTTTAAATGATAGCATATTAGCCAGTTTTTTTTTTTATTGTAATCTTGGCCATTTAGAACTGAATGATAACGGAGCGCATGAAGACTCAAATGTTCATTTTAAAAATAAATTTGAATGCATGCGTGGTGAAATTATGAAGGCTCTAAATGATAAATGCGCAAAACATATTTATCATGATGTAAGAACGATCGATCCTAAGCTATTTTTCAGGAATATAACATCTGAAGTTATTCAAGTAATTAGGCCGGTCAAAAATCTATAATATTAAATAACAGCTGAATTTGCAAGTCGAGTTTATAAATTCAAATTAGGCAGCGAGAACATCTATAATACCGCTTGGAGCAATTTAAACAGGTTAATAGAACTTTCAAGGATTCACACAAATTTAAATGCAACTAAAGGACTGTATGATAATCTCAAACATAGAATCGAAGAATTTACGAACAACTCTTCTGGATGTATTTTAAACAAGTTGCTAAACATCACAATAAAAATTGTCGAATACAAACTTTTAAGAGGTTCTAGCTATATTTAATTACCAGAAAAATTCAGATATACAAAATATAAGTAAATAAATATTAACAACCAATGTAACATGTGCTCTAAGTGGATGGTTGCGCGCCACTTCTGCAGATGAAAAAATGATAACAGAATAACGAAAATATTGAAGAAGCGGAAGAGTTGGATTTTGCTGGTATTTGCTCTATGAAAATTAAAGACATCGATAAGTTTTAGAAGATTAATAATATTTCTATATATGTATATATATAGCTCAAATTATTGTTTGGACCTAGGTCCATTTCAAATAAATAAAACTAAGAATGAAGATGTGGTTTCATTATTGTTAATTACAAATGAGAA